CTGATGCTACGGCTATGCCCAAACAGCCCTCTTCCATTCTAATTGTAGGTTGCACCCATAGGAACAATACACCCATCCTGGCTTTTCCCTGATCTAGTCCACATGAGGCACACAAGTGTTGTAGCCCTGCTTAGTCTGGTCTGCCCCCATCCCAGTTCATGCTCTCCAGCGGGAGTAGCTGTCCAGCAGGGGAACCACCCCTTATTCCCCCGCTGGCTCTGTCTCCTCCCTTCCTGTATCTCACGTGTGCTGGATGGGCACTGCAGTCACATCCGGCACAGTCAACCTCATCCTGGCATTTGTAGTGCGGACTGGTTTTTATCGCAACCAAACCTGGCTCGACCCTTACTCTGTTCTGGTGCTCGGATTTGCCAGTGATGACATTAACTGATTAACCTGGTCTGCCCCCAATCCATGCCTAATGTATGCCAGTGGGAAACTTCTTGTGGCCTGCTCTGGGCTGTTTCCATTCATGCTTTTTGCGCTTACCCATGGGGTCTGTGTCCTGCCAGAGGAGTTGCCCAGGCTCCTCCATCAGAACCTCTCCCAGTGCCGGATTTTGCGCATGCCAGTGGGTCCATGAGCCAGCCCTACTCAGTTCCTAGCTTTCGACCCAAGCTGGTTCTTGTTGTTGGATATTTCAGCCCAGCCATGGCTTGTCCAGTCCATTCCCACATATGGCGCACACATGGTTCAGTAGGGGTTGCGACCTAGCCTAGTCCGTCCCACGTCTATCCTGGTCCTCCAGGAGCACCAGACAGTGCTGGGGTCTGGTCCAGCCTGGTGCGTCCAGTCCCAGTCCACACTTGTGCCAAGGGGGATTTCTCTGTTACCTGATCAGAACGCAGCCCCCATTCCAGCCCATGTGCTCCTTGGCGGCAGCCTTAATCCAGTTAGTGTGTCTACTGGACAAGACCTGTGCCAAAGCTTTAGCATAAACTGGTATTTGGTGGTCAGCATTGCTAAGTGGTAACACATTCTTTAAAGGAAGAGTAACTGTCATTGGGAAACTTTAGGATGTATTCACCTTGCAGAAACACATCGGGTTCAACGTGGAGCCACATAAGCAGCAATTCAAACCACCAAAATCCCAGAGCTCCCCTGCCAGGTGGCCAGCAGGCAAAGCCTGGCACCAAATGGCGCCCCGGCAGGCCCGAGCCCAGCTCACCATGTGCCCATGATGACGGGCATATGGGATCCGGGCATGAGAAACCCTGTCCCAGGACCCACCTGCTGCCGAGAGGCGACGGGAAGTGTAACCTCCCAGGCCCAAGGTCGCGCCCCACCCCAATCCCGTCTGCTGCCCAATGAGAGCAGCGGATGGGCCTGCCTAACCTGGCTCCAGAGACCTCCCCCCTGGGTCGGTGTACTCATTCCGAAGGAAGGAAGCCGCCTTGGAACCCCGGCAGGCAGGCCCAAGCCCGGTTCACCATGTGCCCATGATGGCGGGCGTATGGGATCCGGGCATGAGATGCCCTGTCTTGGGACCTACCCGCTGCCGAGACCGTTACCACATTTCATATGATGAATATGATCTTCATCCCCAAGTGTTTCCTCTTGCAATTTTATAATGCCTTTCCTGTTCACAGACTATTATTGATTTGTTTTCAGTTTTTAAAATAGTCTGCATTTTGTAGTCTTTTATACAGTTGAATAGAATTATCTGTAGTTTTTTAAAAACTGAATTCGAGCTCCGGGCCTGCATCTGAGTGTCCACTGCCGCGGGCTCACTCTAACGTCTGAGTATTTCAGAGATCTACCTGCAGCCATGAGTAGCAACGAGTGCTTCAAGTGCGGGCGATCTGGCCACTGGGCCCAGGAATGCGCTACTGGAGGAGGCCGTGGTCATGGGATGAGAAGCCGTGGCAGAGGTTTCCAGTTTGTTTCCTTGTCTCTTCCAGACATCTGTTACCGCTGTGGTGAGTCTGGCCACCTTGCCAAGGATTGTGATCTTCAGGAGGATGCCTGCTATAACTGCGGTAAAGGTGGCCACACTGTCAAGGACTGCAAAGAGCCCGAGAGAGCGGGAGCAGTGTTGCTACAACTGCGGCAAACCAGGCCACCTGGCTCGTGACTGTGACCACGCCGATGAGCAGAAGTGCTATTCATGTGGAGAATTTGGACACATTCAGAAAGATTGCACCAAGGTGAAGTGCTATAGGTGTGGTGACACTGGCCATGTAGCTATCAACTGCAGCAAGACCAGTGAAGTCAACTGTTACTGCTGCGGCAGGTCGGGGCACCTTGCACGGGAATGCACGGTGGAAGCCACAACCTAATTAATTTCCTTTGTCGCCCCTGCTTTTTCTGATTGATGGTTGTATTATTTTCTCTGAATCCTCTTCACTGGCCAAAGGTTGGCAGATAGAGGCTCCTCCCAGGCCAGTGAGCTTTACTTGCCGTGTAAAAGGAGGAAAGGGATGGAAAACGACTTCCTGTATGTAACTACAAAAAAGTTTATGTTTAGTTTGGTAGAGGTGTTATGTATAAAGTTTTGCTAAAGAACCCCCTTTCCGCGCCACTGGTGAATAGGGACTGACGAATGGAAAGAGTGGAGTCTGACCATTACGCCCATGCTGGGCTTCCCAGGTAGGAGGTAAAACCAATTTTGGAAGTGCTTATGAACTTCCATAAATAACTTTAATTTTAGCATAATGATGGCCTTGGACTGTTTGATCTCAGTAGCTATTTAATAACATCAAGTAACATCTGTATCAGGCCCTCATAGAACATACAGTTGAGTGGGAATAAGCAAAATAAATTACAAACATGCGTGTTGGTGGCTATGTCAGAGAAATCGAGATCAAAGCCTAAACCACTTCATCACAGAGTTGATGCTGCACATACAGATGGTGATGGCACAGGTATCGGTCACATGTTTGCAAAGACTTCTAAAACCCGGAGTAAACATCGATGCCCAGGGTTGGCATAACTTGGAGCTATTCAGGAATTGCAGAGAAATGTGTTTTCACAGAAATCAAGATGTTATTTTTGTATACTATATCGCTTAGACAACTGTGTTTCATTCGCTGTAATCAGTTCTTAAAAGTCAGATGGAAAAAGCAACTGAAGTCCTAGAAAATAGAAATGTAATTTTAAGCTGTTCCAATAAAGCTGGAGGAGGAAGGAAAAAAAAAAACCCTGACTTCGGGTGCCAGCACAATGGCACAGCAAGCTACTCCTCAGCCCTGTGATGCCAGCATCCCATACTGGGGCTGGTTTGTGTCCTGGGTACTCCAATTCCAATCCAGCTCCCTGCTTATACCTAGGAAGGCAGCAGAGAATGGACCAAATATTTGGGACCCTGCACTCATGTGGGAGACCTGGAAGATGCTCCTGGTGCCCAAGCTTGGGTCAGCTCAGCTCTGGCCATTGTAGCCATTTGGAAAGTGAATAAGCAGTTAGAAACCACCCCCATCCTCCTCTATTTCTCTCTGTATAAAATCTGCTTTGCAAATAAGGACAGATAATTGTTTTTAAAAACCTGGCTTCATTCAATGTAATTATTTTGAAAACTATCCATGTTATTGTGTGTAAGAGTTCATTATTTTCTTTTCACTGAAAAGTATACCATTTATGTATGATTGGCCTTGGCCAGAGGACATAGATTGGTTTACAACCTGAGGATTTGTAAAACTGATGTTACAATGAAGTGTTTGAGTTATGTAATAATTATGTATTTGACTTCTTAAGAAACAACCACATTGTTTTCCAAGGTGGCTGCCATTCACCATTCCCACCAATTAGTAGAGTTCCAGTTGTTCCACATCCTTTCCAATGATTGGTGTACAGTCTTTCTAATTTACATATCTAGTAAAAATGTCACAGTATCTCATTGGGTACCTTGGCCCAGGCGGGGCAACCTCGAATAACTCCTACCAGGCCCATCTCCAGCCCTGGTTTTGTACATGCTGACACATGCTGCTGCCTAGCCCAGTCCAGCCTGAATTCGTCCCAGCTCTCATGCACACCAATGGGTACTGAAGATTAGTTCAGCCCAACCCACCCTTAGACCTGGCTCATACATATGCCAGTGGGTGCTGCCACCTTATCCGGTCTGGCCCACCCCCATCCCTAGATTTTGTACTCACCAGTAGGAGCTGCAGCTTCACAGGGAAGTGCCCACAGTTCCCCAGCCAGGTTCCTCCCAACCCTGGATCTTGTAGGGAGTACTGCGGTTCAGTCTGATATGACTCATACCCAGTCCTGGCACCAGCCAGTGGGTATGGCTGCTATCTCTCCCTCTCTTTCTCTCTGTGACTCTGACTTTCAAATAAGTGAAATAAAAGCTTAAAAAAAAGAATTAAATATCACAGTGCTTAGATTAAATTCTCATTGTTATTTAGAGCCTGAACCAGTAAGATGGTTGTAGAAATAAATGATACCAGAACAGTGAGTGTTACTGTGAATGGAAGAACATGATGTGCGCATCAGGGATCTCTCACTGTTTTCCCTCAATGCAAGAATGTATTCTGCCCTTTTGTCTTAGATATGAAGCTTTGTAACAAATGGCTCCTGACACTGGGATTGGTTACTGTGTATTGAAAGCCAGGTGGCAATTAGGAAAGTAACAAAGATTGGAGGAAAAAAATAAAACATAAAAATCTCTGGGTTTAAAATTATTATTCCATCATATCAACAATATGTCATGCAGATTTGTAAAATCTTTGCTTTGGAAAAAAATTGCTTTAAAAAGAAAAGGAGAGAGTGTTCTACTTACCACCTTGAGTTCAAGGTTACAATCCTAGCTTTCTGGCTAGCCTGGCATGGCTGTCTCCAGCTCCTTTTTGTTGTTGCTATTCCAACTTTGCAATACCTGCCATTCTCCAAGTGCCCCAAGTTGCAGGCAAGCTCCACACTGAAGGGGAGGAGCTACTTGTCAGGGTCTGTTCCCAACGTCACAGCCTCACATCTCAGAGACTAACAGCGCTGTCCTCCTGGGCACCACAGAGGACTCCGACCACTGTGCTTCGTGCCATGTGAATGCTATAACCTACAAGATGACTGGCGGATCCAAGTGTATGTGTTTGATTGGCTTTAGTCTTATCTGTCTTAAAATGGTGAGTTCATCATTCCAACTACCTTGTGACCGTTTGGGGCATAAAGACACATTTACTAGCTTTCCTTTTTGTGGAGAGGGACAACTTGGAAGAAAGGAGAAATCAAAATAGTTTAGGATCATAGTAAGATTGTATATGTTTGTGCATTTGAAATTTAATACACTGAGCAAGAGAAGAAAAACAAGATTTTCATTATATTTTAAGAACAAAGGCTCATGAAAAATCTCTCAGCAGCTACTGACATTGCTCAATAGGCAGATTCAAAAGAAAAAATGAAATCGTAATGTGATCTGCCTCCTGCCTTCCAATTCTATTTTGGATTGTTTTGTGGTAGATTTGAGTGTTGCGAAATGATTTGTGCAGATACATTCTCATGTGGATTGAAAGATGGCTCCATTGTGTATAAAATGTTATGATTAATTTACTGATGCTCTGATTTAATGTTACGCATTTCCCCAAATGATATTTTTCTGGATGGCTCTAATGTTCTCAACTTTCCTTTTCAGGTCACTTCAGCAAAAACAGGTAAACTTTCCTGATCTGCAAGCTTTCGCTCCTCATATTTGAGTTGAATTTCCATTGTTAATTCACAGGTTGCCTGAGATAGAAAGGCTATGCTGCGGAGAGGTGGGAGAACATGTTGTGAGCACTCCCATTGGGTGCTGAGCGCTTAGCAGGTGCTGGGAAGATGGCACCTAGTAAGACAAATAAACACGTCATTTTGTTCACTGATGTATTGCCCAAATGCTAACAATGGTTAGAGATGGGCCAGGCTGTAGCTAGGAGGCAGGGACTCCATGGTGGGCTTCCACCGAGGTGGCAGGAGTCCAAGTAATTTGGATCATCCCCTGCTGCCTTCCAGGCTCATTAGTAGGAAGCTGTATTGAAAGTAGGGACAGAATTCAATTCCAAACACTTGGATATGAAGTATAGCATCCTGGATTTACCATGCCAAGCCACAAAGCCTGCCCCCAGTTGCCTTCAGAATTGGCCAGGAAATTGTGGGAAGAATGTCTTGGCCCTCTATAAAATAATCTTTTCCTAAGTGACATTTGGGTAGACAAAATCTAGCGCTGCTGTCTTGGACAAGTTCTCAGCCTGCCAAGGACACACTGCACCCCCAGAGGGCTCCTCTCAGCCCCCACAGCATGTACACTGTTCTAGAGAACTGGGGTCAGGCGGAGAGAGTGTCGGTGTGAATGGACTCCCGGGTTTTTAATAGCTGGGGCACATTTTATTGACATTGTGTAGAAGTGTGTTTTGATCTTGGGGCTCTGGCATTGACTTGTTTTTCTGGGGCTAGCCTCTGGGGCCCCATGGACTGATTTGGATTTCTCTGAGTTGAGAGTTTGCACAGATGCTGAGAATCAAAGGGCTTCTTTTTTGAGAGATCAGAGCAGTTGGTTACACAGATGGGGAATGAGGTTTTTTTCCTTTTATCACTGCAGTGAAGTGGACTAAACTTGGAAGCAGGAAACGTGAGGAGCTGTTGCTCCTGTATGGAGTCTAACACTGGTCACTCATAAGGGGACTGGCTTTCTAGACAGGTGCTGGCAGAGTCCTCCCTAGAGCTTAGCAAGAAACAGAAAATCCAACTTTCCTGCTGCATGCCCCAGACTCCCCAGCATCTTACTATTACTAGCATCCTCCGTGGCAGGGCCATCCCAGCTAGCTTCTACTGACCCCACCCACTCTGCCCCTACCACACATACACACACGTATGTTTTCAAAGTGCATATACTATTTCACTTAATATTCACAGCAATCTGAAAAATACAGGTATTTTACCTTTCAAAGTAAATCCCTAGGCTGTGGGCATTACTAATATACCATATTTTTTTAAGATTTATTTTATTTGTTTGAAAGACAGAGAGAGAGAGAGAGAGAGAGAAATATGGAGAAAGCACAAAAAGATATTCCATTTGCTGGTTCACTTCCCAGATGGCCACAAAGGCCAGGATTGGGCCAGGCTGAAGCTAGGAGCTTCAGCCAGGTCTCCCACATTGGTGACAGGCCCCAAGCACTTGAATCATCTTCCTCTGATTTCCCCAGGCCATCAGCAAGGAGCTGGATCCCAAGTGGAGCATCCAGGACTCAAGTCACTGCCCATTTGGTGCTGCAGGCAGTGGCTCTCCCTTCTATACCACAGTACAAGCCCCAACACAGCACATTTCTTGAGGCAGAAGACCAAGTCCAAGAGAAACTAAATGAGTTACACATGTTCATACACAAAAGTGAAAGGCAGATCCAGGGCCAAAACATAGAGCTCTCAAATCCAAATCCTCTGCTATTTTTCTACCATACAGTTAAGTTTCACAAGTGTATCGTTTCTCTTTGTTGTTCTCTTCCAGGCAAATGAGGCTTTCTAGCCTGGGTTAATGGGGCTAATTTTTTCTTTAACATATTGTTCACTTATTTGCCTCTACTTGGAGGAAAAAACAAAAAAACAAAAACAGAGTGACAGAGAGAAAGAGACACAAAGAGAGATTCCATCCATTGATTCACTTCCCAAATGCCTGCAGCAGAGAGGGACTGGGCCAGGCTGAAGCCAGAGCCAGGAACTCAGTTCAGGTCTCCCAGATAGGTGGCAGGGTCACTGGGAACTGGATCGAAAATGGAACAACTAGGACTTGGAACAAGCATTCCAATATTTGATGCAGATGTCCCAGGTGGTGATTTAACCCACTGAGCCACAGCACCCTTCCAGGTTGGTTTTGTGGACTCTTCAGACCCTGTGACTGGCCTGTGGGGAGAAGGTCCTTTAAGACCACTGCCTAATGACCCATCAAGCTTCTTCATCTGGGACTGATATGACTATCATTGTCCCATGATGTTATTCCATTCCAGCGAACAGGACCAGCTGATCGAGGCAAGAAGATAGACTGGAAGAACAGGGGACAGAGTTGAGAAGCACCAGGCAATGAGAGGAAGGAAGGCATATCGAGCACAAACAAGGAGGGAGCAGAAGGAAGAGGGACATGTGGGCAGGTTGCAATGGAGGCCTTGCAAGGCTCTCCAGTCTGCAGGGGTCTAGGGATGGAAATCTCCCTGCAGACCCTGCTTCCCTCAGCCAGTGCCTTTCAAGCCAACAACCTCCCTCCACCTTGCCATGTATAACTGTCCTCATTTTCTTTCGACAGCAAATGAAACAAGCCTGGGTAGTGTTCAAAGAATGTCTGGCCAGCGCACAGTGAAGACTTTGTTCATTTTTGCGGCATGTTGCTCTCTGAGCTGCTGCCAGGTGCAGCTCCTTGCACCCTGGGGATAGAAAGAGAAGGTTCTCTGTGTCGGGTCCACAGGGATGCGGTTGAGGCAGAGGGAAGGGGGAGTGTCTACTGGCAGATCACACCTTGGTAGCTACCCATTTTCACTGTTTGCCCTGTGGGTTTTGCCTGTTGGTTTTGCTCTTTTGTTTCTGAATTTGACATAGAAGGATCTTAATCGGAAAATGTAATAAATTAAACATAAAAGACCAAGTACCAGTTTCAGACTTAGAACTCAGCTGCATTTATCAATCTCATTTCCACATGGACGTTTCTGTGTCTGTGGATTTGTGTAAGACAGTAAGACAGGACTGCCAGGCTGTCTCCCTAAGTGTAGGGACGCTTTGTGTAAATTGGTAATGTCGTCATCCAATCCCACTGGCAAATCACACCCGAGGCTTCATGAGGAGGCACCCCAGCATCTGATTCTTACTACTGAGACAGATGGTTGGTAGGGAAAGGAAGAATAAGGTTTGTTTGTATTAAATAGAAGAATCTGGAAAGTATTCCGATCTGATAATAGGAAAGAGCCATCGAGTAACTGCACCAAGGCTGGATCCCCCTCCCTCCTTCCCTGAATTTGATGAAGGGTCCTCTGCGGAAGGTACAGAATGTTTTGGGCAGAGGCAAGGATGGAACAAGTCTAGCTGGAACCAGGAAGGCATAGGTGTGACAGGGAAGGGAGACCAATGGCAGAGCAGAAATCAGACTGGAATAGAAGGCTCTGGAATAGAATCCCTCAACTGTTCCTACACCCTCCGTCCCCAGGCTGCTTCCCACAGTCACTTCCCACTCCTCTAGAAGTGCAAAACGTGAAAAGTATTCCCAAGCAACTTAGGAAGATCTTTGGGAAATGAGCAGCCGGAGCCTTCTGGCTGTCGAGGGGCACTTGGCCTCTCTCTTTCTTGGTTTTCCCTTGAACTGAAAACAAAGGGCGAAGCTGTGTGTGGAGGTCAGTGCCAGGATGCTTGAATCTGAAGCTGCGGTCCTAGCAGGTCTCTCAGCTGTCGCATGGTGGCCATCTGTCTTTCAGCTCCTGCAATACCCACAATCGATCAGGCCTACTCAAAAATCAGCAACAGTATCACCGTAGAATGGGCCATGGTCCCTGGCGCTACCAGTTACCTGCTCACAGCCAAAGATGGGGACACGGTCATTGAAACTATGGTGGCCACTCCCCCTGGCACTGTGACAGGCCTGAAGGCTGCAACGTTGTACCAGATCACCATCAGATCCATCAGTGCTGCGGGGAGAAGCCAGGCATCGCCTCCGGCACAGGCCAAGACAGGTAGCTGGAAGTTCGTTCCCTCTGAGAGTTGTCTTGCAACCTGGAGCTATCGCACCAGCGCTGCAGATGCATCCTGTGATTAAGTGTTCCTGCAGGCCTATGATTTAGGCCCCACACATGAAAGCCACCAAATAATGTTTTGGGGAACTCAGATAGCTATAGGAGATGCTTTATCTTCGAAAATAATACCTGCTCTTGTGCTCTTTTCAAAACATCCCTGTTTCTAGTTTTAAGCTTTTATTATTATTCCTTAGTTTTATTTGCTTTAACTTAGTTATTGGAAAGGCAGAGTGATGGAGAGACAAAGATCTGCTGGTTCAGTCCCCGCAAATGCCTGTAGCAGCGGGGCTGGGATGAGTGACAGGAACCCAAGGGGCTCCGGACCATCGTCTGCTGCCTCCAAGGCACATTAGCAGCAAGCTGGAGCAGAAGCAGAGGCCGGGCTTAATCCCAGGCACTCCAATACATGGCACAGGCAGCCCAAGCAGCAGCTTAACCCACTGCACCATAACTTGTGTGATGCATCCCCCACTTCTAAATCTCTGGAAAAGGGATAACACGTTGTAACTATCCACATAAAGAACACATGGACAGGAGTTGCTGCATGCTAGCCGCGTAGTATATGTTAACAAAGAAAAACATTTGGAATTCACCTTTTTGCTTGATAAAGTTGTACCTGCTCAATAGAGTTATGTATATGTCAAAGTACTATCAGTCATCAATTCCCCGTTTGTTTGTGTTCTGATTACAGCAATGTTTTATCTGATTTCTGACTACCAACTGAACAAGTGCCTAAGATTTAATTTCTGTTCCCCATTCCTCAGCCAAGACATTTATGAGTAATGAATATTTAAATAGCAGTTATCTAATGGAGCTCTGCCACAAATCCTTTTAAAAAGTAGACAATCATTTTGTAGTATGAGCAGTCAACCTCAATTAACTTATCCCTGAATTATATCCTCTATTGAATTTCAGTGGCACAAACATGTATGTTCTTGTCTGTTGCAGTGTTGGCAGCACCCATTCTAGAAGTCAGTTCTCCAAGTCCAGACTCTATTCTCGTACAGTGGGAAGCTGTCTGTATGGCGATCGGATTCTCTGTGTCCGTCATGCAGGCCAACGGCTTGGGAAGAATATGGAAAGAGAATACCACCAACACCTCACTGACCTTCAGTGGGTTAGATGCCGGCACCCTCTACACTGTAAAGGCATATGCGTGGAACTCCAATGGAGTCCCTGGGGATGACTCCACCTGCAATCAGAGGACGAGTAAGGATATCTGGCTCAGTGTGATTCATGACAGGGGCTGTGTATGGCGGCCATCTAGGGCAGTGTTAAGTGATAGGTACAGACTGGCTGGCCACAGCTGTCTGAATTTATTAGGAAGTTATTTATAGAGCTTGACTCTTCCTCCTCCATAGTTTGAACACCAAAATGCGTGTAAAGAAATACTGCCCAGAGCATGGCAGCTCCCTCTGTGACACATCACTCCACATCAACATAGACAGCACAACACCACCAACAAGGGGGTGGTTCTCCTTAGCTTGTCCAGCCCACCCAGACCTGACACCATGGTAGGCGTTAAATGAGTTCTCTCTCTCTCTCTCTCTCTCTCTTTGTGTGTCTGCTTCTCAAATAAATAAATCACTTATAAACAGATGTTTTATCTACTTGAAAAGCAGGGTGTTAAAAACAGTGGGAGAGACAGAAAGAATGTTTATCTACTGATTCACTCCCCGCAAATAGCTACAATGCCTAGGGCTGTTCCGGGCCAAAGCCAGGAACCACATGGATGGCAAAGGTCCTAAAACTTGGGTAAATTTCCAGTTCTTGCTTTTCCAGGTGCATTAGCAGGGAGCAGGATAGGAAATAGTTCAGCTGGGACTTGAATCAGCACTCATCTTGGATGCCAGCATTGCAAGGAGGCAGCATAAGTGGCTATGCCATAATGCGATCGTCTAAGTAATTTTTTTTCTTAAAGTCTTAGAGTTTGGATTTAGTTTCTGCATAAGTTTGTTAGGGTTGCTTTAACAAAGGGCTGTAAACTGGATGACTTAAATAATAGATATTTATCAGTTCTGGAGGGTTAGGATATCTAAAATCAAAATGTTGCCAATCCTGGTTCCTTCTAGGTGCTGTGAGAAAGGGTCTGTTGCAAGTCTTTCTTGTTGGCTTGTACATGGTCGTCTACGTGCACATGGTATTGTCCTTGTGTACTATGTCTGTGTTCAAATTTCATCTTTTTTCCTCATTTTTAAAAATGTATTTGAAAGGCAGAGACCCAGCATGAGCAGGACAGATGAAGAGAGAAAGATATCTTCCATCTGCTGGCTTACTCCCAAAAATCCTGCAGTGTTCAGGGCTGGATTAGGCTGGAGTCAGATACCCACAATTCAGTCTGTGTCTCCCACATGGGTGACAAGAACCCAAGTACTTGAGCCATTACTTACTGCCTCCTAGCGTGTGCATTAGCAGGAAGTTGGAATCCAGAGCCAAACTGAACTTGAGCCTGATGTGGAATTTGAGCATCCCAAGCAATGGTTTAACCACTCCACCAAAGGCTCACCCCCAAATTTCTTCTTTTTATAGGCATATCAGTCATAGATTCAGAGTCTACCTTCAATGTGTTATGATCCCATTTTAAGATAAGATCGTGTTCTAAGGTCGCAAGGATTAGGACTCCAACATATAAATTCAATTCCCAACAGCTTCCCCCTGCTTCACCTGCCTTCCCTCATTCTTTCATGCCTCATGTGGGACAAGCAGATGGCCCTGAAACATGGAAGGCCACACCAGCCAGCCGTGGGTGTCACAGCAGCTTAGAGTAGTACACTTGTCCCTGTAGACAAACTGACCATGCAACAGGGGAAGGGAGCTGCTCAGATAGCCCACAGAAGGGGGACACAGCCAGTGCGAGCTTTGCAGAGTGGGTCTCTGCAAAGGATGTTAGTCTCTGCTCACAGGCTGTCTGAGCAATCTTCCATGGCCTGCCCAGTGCTCTTTATTACAGCACTGATGCCAAGGGACAATTGAGGCCAATCTACAGGAGAACTCTGAATACAGAGGGCATAATTATAAAAATGTGGGGAAGGGGTAATGATGTGCCACATTAAGCTGCTGCCTGCAACATCAGCTTTCTGCTTTGCTTCGATCTACCTTCCTGTTGATGAACATGAGAAGGCAGGGAGAGATGGCCAGAGTACCTTGGTCCCCTATCACCCACGTGGAGATCAAAATGAGTTCCTGGCTCCTGGATTTGACCTGAGCCACATGTGGTTGCTGTGGTCAGTAGCATATGGTCAGTAGATGGAAGATTGATATTTCTCTCTCTCTCCCTCTCACCCAATCTGTTGCTTTATCCTTCAAATAAATAAGTGAATCTTAACAACAGCAATAAAAAAGAATGCAGGGAAAGTGTTTTTTGGAGATACTAAAAGAAGATCACCTTAAAGTATGATCACCACACTTGATACTTTCCTTTGATCTAGACTAAAAGGGAAATCTGTTCCTCTATAAACAATTATTACCTGAATTTAAAAACATATATACTGGTGCCAAAAATAAGTGGAGGAGTTTAGATTCACCCATTAGTAATAATTTATTTAGCACCTCATTCAAGAGTAACACAGCCACATGACCTCCACATTTGGGATTGTGAGTCTTTTAGTCAGCTGTTAAAATAGCATATTAATTTATTCAAAACACGTTTTTAGCACCTACATATGTTAGACACTAATGTTACTACATTCATGTGACAGATGAGAAAAAAGGTTAAATGATGTGGCCAAGGTCACATATCTTGTAACAATATATGTAACCTATGTAACACAACGATGAGTTTGCATTGTCCACGGCAGATGAATCAGCGCTGCTCAGCTGCCTGCAGTACAGCTTCCTGCTTTCAGCACCTGCCATTCTCTACCCATGCGCACTGGATCCTCTGAGCTCTGCAGTATGGTCAGGCCAGATCTCACCTGGCCTCCTCCTGAGGCTGCTAAACATCTTGTTTGTTTCTCAAAAACGCAGGTCCCCGTGCGCCCAACAACATCCAAGTCTCCTTTGACGGTGGGACCCTGCAGGCGGCTGTGTCGTGGGCCCCTGCAGAAGGCGCATCCAACTACACTGTGATGGCGCTGAGTGGCTCCTCCCAGCTGAGCTGCAGCACGACCTCCAGTTCCTGCACCGTCTCTTCGCTCCAGTGTGGAACCGAGTACCAGATCTCAGTCTCAGCAAGCAATGATGCTGGATCTAGCAAATCGCCTTCTGCAGTGACCCTCAGGACTGGTATGTAAATGGCTGCGAGATCCCTGGAGGGTGGGCAGGCACCTGCGAGTGCCATCCTGGAGGTGGGAAATCCCCTGCAATGTTCCAGAACACTTCAGAAGGAGTGCAAATGGAAGCCTTGAACAAGACATTCCGATTAGCCTGAAGAATATTAGTGAAAGCTGATACTACACGGGGAGAAAGCACTTCTTTGAAAGTAAACAAGCCTGACTCCCCTTCCAGATGTCTTATTATTTTTTTTTCTTTTTCATTTACAATATTATAAAAAAAAAAAAAGCTAAGACTCAATCTGAGTTGCACAATTCTCACTGGGCAGTGCCCTGACTGACTCTGCCTTCATCATGTTTCATGACATAGGCATGGTAGGAGCTTTTTTTTTTTTTTTAAATAGTTATTTATTTATATTAGAAAGTCAGATTTTCAGAGAGAAGGAGGGACAGAGAAAAACATCTTCCATCCAATGGTTCACTCCCCAAGTGGCCACCACAGTTGGAACTGAGCTGATCTGAAGCCAGAAGCCAGGAACTTCCTCCACATTTCCCACATGGGTACAGGGTCTCAAGGCTTTGGACCGTCCTCCACTGCTTTCCCAGGCCACAGGCAGGGAGCTGGATGGGGAGTGGAGAAGCTGGTACATGAACCAGTGCTCATATGGGATCTTAGTGCGTCCAAGGCAAGGACTTTAGCCATGAGGCTGCTACTGTGCCAGGCCTGGGAGCTTTTTTTTTTTTTTTCAAGATAAAGATAGGATACTTCTAGTTCTGAATGTGTGCAGATATTTTTTGATTTTTCATTTTGTAAAACAAGTTAATTACAGTGCCAGTGCTGTGGCATAGTGGCCTAAGCTTCCATCTGTAGGGATCAGCATCCCACATGGTCACTGGTTCAAGTCACAGCTACTCCACTCACCACCCAGCACACTGCAGATGCTCCTGTGAAAGCAGCCCATGAGGTTCAAGTCTTTGGGCTCCTGAACACACACGGGAGAGTCTGTAGAAGCTCCTGGTTCTGGGGCTTTGACCTGGCAAAACCCTAGCTACTGTGGCCATCTGGGGAGTGCACCGCAAATGGAAGACCCCACTCACTGTGTTTCCTTTTCTCTGTCTCTCTATAACTTCACCTTCTAGATAAATAAATATGTATTTTAAAATTTTTTTTTTACCTGAAAGGTGGATTTTGCAGAGACAGAAAAAGGTAAAGTCTTCCATCTGATGGTTCACTCCCCAAGTGGCTTCAATAGCCAGAGCTAAGCTGATCTGAAGCCAAGTGCCAAGAGTTTCCTCTGGGTCTCCCCATGGGTGCAGGATCCCAAAGACTTGGGCTACTTTCTGCTGCTTTCTCAGGCCACAAACAGAGAGCTGGATGGGAAGGGTAGCAGGTGGCCCACGCACTAGTGCCCATGTAGGATTCCAGTGCCACTGGGCAGAAGATTAGCCTGATGCACCATCTTGTCAACCCCAATAAATATCTTTAAAGATGTATCTTTTTCAGCATTCAAAAGTGAGTATATCTAATCATACTCAGCTTATAACACAGCAAATATGTGAAAAATAATAATTCCTTCTACAGCATGTCCAATGAACTAGCAACAAAGTTGGTTGCGTGCAGGTCAGGAAACTTCACCTGGAAGGATTAGAACTGGGGACCCCATGATCATCTGGCATCCGCTCGATGTTGTATCTGTGGTTGGAGAGTACATGATAGGAACTCCAGGGATTTGGGATTCTTTGTTTAAGGTCCCTGTCAACTGTGGCCACGATGTAACACTTGTGCTGAGTCACTCTCTGTACTAAGCAGTCACCCACATGGGTTCCTTTGTGTGAACATGGTAAGCGTTCAAATCTTGGATCCTTGGCAATCCTTAGTGCCACTCGATACTTCTGCCCCAATTTTTCAATTTCTGCCATGACACAATCATTTATACAAGGGATATCATGCTGCCGCTGCAGTCTTTGTTTCTCCTGGAATCACCCTAAATATCTTTAAAAATTTAAAGAAAAAGACCAAACTATTGACTTATTTATTTGTCTAAAAAGCTGAGCAACACAAAGAGAAGGGTTGCTTTCCCAAAAGTCCCAATGGCCAGGACTACTCCAGGCCAAACTGAAGAGCGCAGAGCTCTGCTTCTCCCAAGCTGGTGGCAGCAGATCAAAACCTTGGCCCTTGCACACTCATTAACAGAAAGCTGGATCAGAAACAGAACTACTGGTACCCTGGAGAGAGATTCTGCTGTCGTAAGTGGCAGCCTAACTGTATGTGCCATGATACTGGTTCCTGATTACTGTAATTTAATGTGGGTATTACATTAGCAGAGTTTTTAGGACAAGACGACTGAGAGTGAGGAAAGTGAAGAGAAACATTTCAAAAGTATAGCAGTTCTGAGTTAGTCGTTTCAGACAGGAGAGAGCCATCCAGCATTTTTCAGGCTTGGGTACACATTAAGAACATCTGGAGAGTTTTTATACAATCCCAATACCCAAGTCCCACCTAAGACCAACAAAATCGTAATCATTAGAAAAAGGGTTTGGATGCGATCAGTTTGTAAAAGCTCCCTAGTTCCCAAGGTCATGGGAAGGACCTTGACTTCTCAATAAAAGGGCTGCATTTAGAAGGTGTGATGTGGAGCCTGGTGTGATAGCCTAGTGGCTAAATCCTCACTTTGCATGCATCAGGATCCCGTATGGGCAGCCAGTTCATGTTCTGGCTGCTCCACTTCTCACTCAGCTCCCTACTTGTGGCCTGGGAAAGCAGTAGAAAACGCTGGGACTCTGTACCTACATGGGAGACCAAGAAGAGGCTCCTGGCTTCAGATCGGCTCAGCTCCAGCCGTTGCTGCTACCTAATGAGTGAATCAGTGGAAAAAAAAGATCTTTCTCTCCGTATCTTTTTGCTCTTTGTATATTCCTTTCCAATAAAAATAAATAAATAAGATACTAAGTGTTCTTCTAGGCCCAGAAATGTGCAGTATATCTTAGAATATGTCCATTAGTGATGATTAAACTTTTTAAAGCTTATGGTTGGGGCCTGGTGTTGTGACATAGTGGATAAAGTCTTCATCTGCAATACCAGCATCCTATATTGCAAATCCCAGCTGCTCTGCTTCTGAGTCAGTGCCTGGGAAAGCAGTGGGAGAGGGGCCAAGTGCTTGGGCCCCTGCCACCTCTGTGGGCCACCTGGAAGAAGCACCTGGCTCCTGGCTCCGCTTTGGCCTAGTTCTGATAGTTGCAGTCATTTGGGATGCGAAGCAGTGTATAAAAGATCTAGCTCTCTCTCTCTCTCTCTCTCCAGGCTCTGTCTTTCAAGTATATTTAAAAAAATTTTTTTGAAAGTTTATGATTTCAGTGAATGAACTTCTTTTCTTCAGAAGACTTCATTCCATGCTGATATTGGATAAGTGAAGCGTTGCCTTAAAACTGGGAAACAGGGACCAGCACCATGGTGTAGTGGGCATGCCTGCGGCATGGCACCCCGTCTGGATGCTGATCCTAGTGTCCGCTGCTCCATGTCTGTTCCAGCTCCCTGATTATGGCCTGGAAAGGCAGCCGAGGATAGCTCAGGTCCTTGGACTCCTGTACTCACATGGGGGACCCAGAAGAGTTTCCTGGCTTTGGTTCATCTCACTTCCTACTGTTGTGGCCATTTGGGGAGTGAACCAGAGGATGGAAGATCCTTTTCCCTGAAGCTCTGCATCTCTAATAAAAATAAAATTAAATCATCTTAAAAGCACAGACACACTCAGAAACAGGGAAATAGACAGGATTAACCAAGGTACATCATGCCTATTTCTGGCACCATCTAGCATGCAATTGAGATTAATTTTGAGATATGTGAGAACTCCTCCTTAGGTGGCACTGAGCTGTGTATACTACCTGTCTTGTCCTTGCCCATAGCATCTTATGTCTTGCTGTTTGGCTTGGCCACTTCTGGATGGATGCAATGGGCATGAGAACATAGTTTGCTGCCCAATGTGCAGGAGGCGGCCATCACGAGACTTTCCATGAAGCTCTGTTTCACTATTCCATTGAGGCCAGACTAGCTTCATCTCTGGATGCAATCAAACTTTTAAAAAAATACTCTAGGGCTTGGTGTGGTGGCCTAACGGCTAAAGGTCCTCGTCTTGAACACACCAGGATCCCATATGGGTGCCGGTTCTAATCCTGACAGCCCTACTTCCTATCCAGCTCCCTGCTTGTGGCCTGGGAAAGCAGTCAAGGATGGCCCAAAGCCTAGGGACCCTGCACCCACGTGGGAGACCTGGAAGAGCTCCTGGCTCTGGCTTTGGATTGGCACAGCACCGGCCGTTGCAGTGACTTGGGGAGCGAATCATCAGACAGAAGATTTTCTCTGTCTCTCCTCCTTTCTGTATATCTGCTTTTCCAATAAAAATAAACTTTTTTAAATAAAAAAGATGAAATTAAAAAAAAATACTCTAGCAATGAAAATACCATATCTTAAAATGATTGCGCAATTGTGAGGGCCTATTTTTTTCTTTTCTTTTTTAAAAAGATATATTTATTTGGCAGGTTGAGTGACTAAGAGAGAAGGAGAGACAGAGCAAGGTCTGTCCACTGGTTTGCTCCCCAGATGGCAGGACTGAGGCTGGGCTAAGCAGAAGCCAGATGTCTGGAAATTCATTCTGGTTTCCCATATATGGGTGTCAAGGGCCAGAGTATCAAGCCATCCTCTGCTTGCTTTCTATCTTTCTTTCTTTCTTTCTTTCTTTCTTTCTTTCTTTCTTTCTTTCTTTCTTTCTTTCTTTCTTTCTTAGGATTTATTTATTTTATTGGTCAGGCAGACGTACAGAGAAGAGAGACAGAGGGAAAGATCTTCCATCTGGTGATTCGCTCCCCAAGTGACTGCAATGGCAGGTGCTGCGCCAATCTGAAGCCAGGAGCTCTTCCGGGTCTCCCACGTGGGTGCAGGGTCCCAAGGCTTTGGGCCATCCTCGACTGCTTTCCCCAGGCCACAAGCAGGGAGCTGGATGGGATTAGAACCGGCACCCATATGGATCCCAGCGTGTTCAATGCTATCATGCCGGGCCCATCCTCTGCTGCTCTCAGGCATTTGCCGAGAGCTGCATTGGAAGCAGAGTAGCTGGGACTCAAACTGTTGCTCCAATATGGAACGACAGCATCACAGTCAGTTTATCTTCCTGAGCCATAACATTAGCCCCTTGGCCCCGTATTTTTAACAACATTTCAAATAACAAGAAACTTTAGCCTGGTCGTATGGTATTTTTTTTTTTGCTAGGGATTTGAACTCCATAGCCTTGCCTTTGATTTAATGCGAAACAGTGAAATGCTTCTGGCATATCACCTTGCATGTTATACACTCAATTCCATCCACTAGAAAGGTCAGAGTTGCCTGCTTGAGTTATCTTGAAATCCTGCGAAGATGCAGACAGGGTTTGCAGCAAGCATCTCCCAGCTGTTTATGACTGATTGTTTCCTAGTTGCTTGTGCACCTGGAAGAGTCATGATTCATGAAGACCCCCCTGGCCATCTCTCTGTGGCATGGTCAAACGTCAGTTTGGGTGATTACTACGTGGTCTTTGTGAAGAGTGATGATGGTTTGGAAGTACACTGCAACACTTCCCTCACCCAGTGCAATTTCGTATCTGAGTGTGGCTTCACTTACTTCATCAGTGTTTTCGCTTACAACAAGGCAGGGCAGAGTCCTCTGGGAGACGTATTCAATTACACCACAGGTAAGTAACATGTGATGGGAGTTTTGGGTTCGCTGAGGTCAGCAGTAGAATGCATCACCCTGGACTTGCCAGCTGGAGGTCAGGGTCAGGGCCAAGGGCTACCTCACATTCTTTCTGTTCAAGGAAATTTTGGTTTCACACATCAAAGCTTAGCAAAGTTTAGAAGTGAAAAGAAGGGTGGGAACAGAGTTTGCTCAATAATGTTCTGAAAAAATTGAACCCCAAATGAAAATCTAGCAGCTACTCAAGGCCGGCTGCAGAAGGGATTGCAGTCTCTCCGGTTGAATTACCTTTTCCCCAAGAGCAAGGCACAGTGATGCCTTGGAGAAGGCACTTGGGCTTAAGTCCTAAGTCGACAACTGACCAGCTCATGTGGTGGGGATGGTGGTATCCACTTGGGACAAATAATAAGAACATAAATGTGAGTGGGTCTTTGTAAATGACAAAGCACAGTGCAAATATTTTTATTAATATTGTTATTGCTTCTGTTAATGATTATTTTTCTCTGCTAGGTTTGGATCTTGGACTAAACAAGGACTATCTCTCTTTTTTTGAAGATTTATTTATTTTATTTGAAATGTGGAATTTCAAGGAGAGCAAGAGAGACAGAGAAGGAGAGAAACAGAGATTTTCTATCTATTGGTTCACTCCCTAAAAGGTCCCAACGGCCAGAGCTGAGTTGATCCAAAGCTAGAGGCCAGGAGTGAGGAGCTTCTTCCAAATTTCCCTTGTGGAAGCAGGGGCCCATCTTTTACTTTGCTAGGCCATAAATGGAGAGCTGGATTGGAAGTAGAGTAGCTGTGACAGAAACCAGCACCCATATGTGATGCTGGCGCCATAGGTGGAAGCTTAGCATATTGAACCAATATGCTAGCACCAGAATTATGTCTTCTTGACTTCCTTATCACCAGTTCTTATAGTGTGATCAGCATACAGGAGATGCATGATTTTTGAAGACTGCATGGAAAGACTTAAAAATAATTAACTATAGTTACAAATAAGACTATTTTGTATGTAAAAGTATCAGACGGATATTATACTATGTTTTGCTAGGATAAAGGATTCAAATAATTGGTATCTTGGAAGTTGAAGTAAGAGATTATCATGAAGTTCTTAAGAACATAGGAAGATCTTCCAGAGGCATGGACTTGAATCTTTAAGATTGGATGGAATCTAGGTGTAACAGGAGTATCCCCAGAAAGGCTCCAAACTGAGTTATATTTTAGTCAGCGGTGCTCTTGAGAAGGTCTGTCCTAATGTAATGTAACCGGGACATCTGCACCTGCCCCCAGCCCTGGCTTTCTCCATTTTGGTGTGTTGAAAGAGTTGTCAGCACTTGAGTAGTTAGGCAAGCATGACATCAAGAAAGAAGAGCAGAGAGGCTTTCCAGCAGAAGGACAGCGACTGTCAAGGAATACAGAAGTGAGGGTTTCCTGTGGAATGTCACAGGGTAGCTGGTGGAAGGTACAGCTGAACATTACAGTTTGTGATGACATTGAATAGCATGCTGAAGGTCTATGCTCTCTGCAAGAGAGATCGGAACAGGACAGACCTGTAAGAGGTTGTGACAACAGTTAAGGAGGGTAGTAGCAGAGCAGTTGGACATAATGAGGCCACCTCTGGCAGCCTGGCCCCTCTTCTAACCTCCATTCCATCCCCACTTCTGCCTTCAGCTCCCTGTTGTCCTAGTGACATCAATCCGGTGATGGTGTCCAGTGACAGAGTAGAAATCGTCTGGTCTCCTGTCCGTGGTGCCGAACTCTATGAAACCAAGGCTGTGGATGGGTACAATACAGTTGAGTGCAACGACACTGTTCCTGCCTGCACACTGTCAGCTCTAGAGTGTGACACCAAGTACAACATCACAGTGTATTCGTTCAGCGAAGTCCGGGGCAGCAATATGTCATGCACATCCCAGCCTGTAACTACAGGTACCTATCGCTTTATTTTCCATATCTGAAGGACTCACCCTGGCTAAATGCTTCAAGATAGGCATTCAACAAGATCTAGGAAAACGTGAACTCATTAAGCACTCTTTGGGGGCCCTGCTGTGTCAAAGACATGCAGAGGAGAGATGGAAGAGGAAAGGGAAAGGCAGGGAACAAAGGGAAAAACCATGGAGAATGCGAGATTTCCCAGTGGTTTTCCTCAGCCACTCAGCTCCTCCTGTGTTTAGCCAGATGCATAGTCTAGTTTAAAGTGATGATGATCTCATTTGGTGGGGGATGTGGGAGAAGGCAATTTAGACCAAACAGCACATGTGATATTTCTGACTCACATATTTCAGCTAATAATCTAAAAATCTCTTAGCTCCTTGCAGCCCTGAAATTAAAAATGTCTCAAAGGACATATTCTCTGTGGTTAACGTGCACTGGCAATCTGCAAATGATGGTGCTGTTTACACTGTGACCGCCCAAGGGGAGAAAGGGCTGTATTGGTGCAGCAGTACAGGATGGTCCTGCGCCTTGGGCAGCTTGCCCTGCGGCTCACTGTTTTCCGTGACAGCTGTGGCAGAAACACCAGCAGGACGGAGCGCGCCCAGCTACAGTGTGGCCCTGGAAACATGTACGTAGCACCGGCAACCTGTGTGGACTTCAGAGGGGAGTTTGGGAATGGCTTCCAGATATGAGCTTTCTTATTTCATCTACCCCAAGTCAGATGGAAATACATTCAATTCAGTGGCCTTGCAAAGAGTCTAGTCTTAGAAAACAAAAATTTCAATAATTTACAGCAGTTTCTGTGCCAATTTCATGAGAAGACTCTGGAATATTCCTGCACGAGCATCAAAGAAAGGATATGAGTACATGGGCTCTGCAAAAACATTTGCTGGAATTCATGTTCCAATCTATAAAAGCATCCAGCAAGTAACCAAATGAGCTAGCTTGCTATTCATTTTGGGTTCAGGATTTTCATATTTAAAAAATGCTGTCTGAATTTTATTTTTCTAATTGGCAATTGTTCTCTTAGAGTGAATACAAACATTAAGTTAATGCTGCCAGGTGCTTAGCACAGTGCCTCATGCACATGAAGAAGGAGTCTTACAGCAGAAAGCTGTTACTGCTTCATAGCACAGCAGGTGAACACAATTTTGCAAACTGCTGAAATCCTTTGCATCTTGTTGTACCTGGCATATCAATATAGATGGCACTTTGAGCTGTAAAAGTTGAAACCTTAAAAGCAGCAGAATAGAAACAATACCATATGCTAAAGCAATTCCAGGTGTTCTGAATCCTGTACAATGGGTTCCTGAAAAATTAACTGTGGTCCTTTGCATCAATGATGTACCATGAAATGCGTAAGAAAGGCACAACACATTTCATTGCAAATGCTATGCAATGTTATAATGAGAGATGAATGCAACCCTTGCTTTGAAATTTACAGTTGGAATTGTTCAAAGTGAGAGATGTTTTTATTGTCAAAAGAAAAAATTGGAGAAACCTAGCATTTCTCATGGACTGTAAAATGCACCACGTTCTTAGGGAAAGCTCCCAGAGGATACACACAGTGGAGCAGAGGGAGGGAACCCAGGGAAACACTTGATCAAAAGCAAAACATTCAGAAACTTAGGACATTACCTGTAACACAGGCAAAATACTCTTCTTGGTCATTTTTCACATTCTGTGAAAATGCATCCCTGATTCCTTTTCTCTTTCTCCAGTGCCATGCTGTCCAGTTGGTCTGACAGTCACTCAGGTCACCCAATCAGTAATTAATGTGAGCTGGACTATTGGGATGGTGGCGCAAACCTATGTGACAGTTCTCGAGTCACACACCGGACAGTCTAAGTGTCGCACCCATCAGAACCACTGCCTCCTGGGATGCATTGCATGTGGAATCAATTACACAGTGACATTAAAAGCAATCAGTGCCTCTGGATTGACTGCGGACTGTGCCTTCCAAAGTTACTCCTCTAGTAAGTGAATCCTAATTCTGCAGTGCCAGAGGCCTTGCCTATTACCGATCCAAGCATAAGCCCTTCTTTTTCTGTTAAAAAGATGCTGCATTTGCACCTTCCTTGCATTAAACATTCAGATCAGTTCATAACATTCTCACAGTTTCTCTCCCGTGGCTTACAGGGGCTTCCTTTGGTAGCTGGTGAATTATTGTCCTTGGTAATAGGTTCAGTTATGAGTTTTCCAAAGGGCTGATTCATCTTCATATGACATGACTGCCAGCAGCACAGAGTAACAGCCTAGCGGGGTGTTGAGAAAACATTCCATCACACACTCTATCTGGGTTGCTTTGTCTCCCTTCTCATTGTTACTGTGTTTCTCCCCGCCTCTTCTAAGCCACTGCAGCTCGTTCCTTCCTGGTCTCTTATTTCAGCAGAGCAAAGCAGGTGTCTACTGACAGTGCTGCTCCTTGTTCTTCACAAAGACAAACCATCCGGGAACAGCAGAGAAAAAAACAAAAGCAGTGCAGTAAGATTCCTCTCCATTGCTCTCATCCACTAAAGTGGCTACTTGGAGCACCATCTTGAAAAAAACCTCCTGAGGATGCCTTCCAGGCTTGAGCAAAAGAGTACAGTGCTGTTAGTGACCTCTGCTCAGTCGCTATCAACTCCTGAGCTGGAGAGCTGAAATATCATTGTGGCATACTAGAGGTGGTTGTCTCCAGCTGGCATTCTAAATGAGACATGGCTTCTTATAAGCTTTGTTGTATCTTCTCTGTCTCCACATTGGTAAGGAAAAAAAAGGAACATGAGTGCTTTCCTAGAGGTGGGTATTTAATCTAGTTGCCAGTTAGAATGCCACTGTCCCACCTCAAAGTACTTGCTGTGGTTCCTGGCTGTTGACTCTAGAGGCCTGCTAATGCAGACGCAGAGAGGTGGTGCTAATGGTTCAAGTAAATACATTCCTGACACCTGCAAGGGAGACCCAGGTTCAATTCCTGGATCCTAATTTTAGCACCAAGCCAGCCCCAGCCATTAAAGGCATGTAGAGAGTGATCTAGCAAATGGGAGCTTTCTCTATGCCTCTCAAGTAAATAAGCAAAGTTTTAAAAAAAATCTTCCTAGCTCATCCCTAAAAGTTATTTTGAGACTCAGAAGAAATCATAATGTGAAATCATGTATTATCTACTATACATTTAACAGTTGGTTTATGCTTTTCTTTTTGTCCATTACTTTCCATTAGACTTGCTGCTAGTATTCTCAATTTACCAGCCAGTTCTGATAATATGGCCTATCACATATCTCAAAAACTGAAAAGTTTAGTTTTTTTTTTTTTAAGATTTTTTTATTATTATTATTTATTTATTGGAAAGGCGGATATACAGAGAGGAGAGACAGAGAGGAAGATCTTCCGTCCGATGATTCACTCCCCAAGTGAGCACAACGGCCGATACTATGCCGATCCGAAGCCAGGAGCCTCTTCCGGGTCTCCCACGCGGGTGCAGGGTCCCAAAGCTTTGGGCCATCCTCGACTGCTTTCCCAGGCCACAGGCAGGGAGCTGGAAGGGAAGCGGGCCTGCCGGGACAGAACCGGTGCCCATATGGGATCCCGGGGTGTGCAAGGCGAGGACCTTAACCACTGCGCCACCGCGCTGGGCCCAGTTTAGTTTTTTTTTAAGTCATCAATTACTAAGAGCCTGATGGACCTGGCACTTTAGCCTAGTGGCTAAAGTCCTCGCCTTGAACACCCAGGATCCCATGTGGGTGCCAGTTCTATCCCAGCTGCTCTGCTTCCTTCCAGTTGCCTGCCTGTGACCTGAGAAAGTAGTCCGAGGATGGCCCAAGGACTTGGGGACCTGCACCCAAGTGGGAGACCTGGAAGAGTCTCCTGGCTCCTAGCTCCTGGCTTCAGATCAGCCCAGCTCTGGCTGTTGTGACTACTTTGGGAGTGAACCAGTGGATGGAAGATCTTTCTCTCTGTCTCGCCTTCACTCTGAAAATCTTACTTTCCAATAAAAATAAACAAATACTTAAAAAAAACCCAAGAGCCTGATAACAAAAAGTAAAGGCTTATTTGCTTATTTTTACTGGAATGCAAAGGAAAAACTCCTATCTTCTAATTCACTTCCCCAATGCTTGCAACAGTAGGGCTAAGCCAGGCTAAGCTGAGGTGTCATCAACTCACACTAGGGCTCCAGTAGGGAAGGCAGAGACCCAAGCACCTGAGCCATCACCTGGTGCTTCCCAAGGTGTACATCAACAAAGAGCTGACATTGGAAGTAGATTGAGACTTCAACACAGTTACTCCGGTATGGGCTCCCAGTGCCCCAACTGGTGTCCTAATTGCTGTGCCAAACAGCCACCCATCAAGGTTTTTTTTTTTAAGATTATATAATAACTTGCTCATTTTAGTCACTGAGGAATCCTGTTTAAGTGCCCCTGTTTGACACCTAGTATGTAGTATTGCTCAAGGTATTTAGAAATGAACCAAAAGCACCTAATCAAGTAGCACTGATGAAATGCATACCAGAGCGTGGTCATCAGCCTGTGTAAGCAACTGCTGTCAAGGCACTTGGTTATTTTTAAAATTATTATTTTATTTTTATAATCTTTACATAGTTGCTTAGGGCACACAGGGCCAAGGGCTACAGGAAAGTGAGTTAGACCATTGTTTCCACATTTTTTTTTTCTGTATCTGGGGTAATGAGGGAGATAATGGGCGAAGCCCTATCCAGCCTCCCATCCATCCCAGGGTCCCTGACGTGGGACGTGCTGCAGGGGCACTGCTAAAGTCGTTTTGATAGTTCCACAGTTCTGAATTGCTACCTATCTCGCCATTCCAAGCACAATGAAATCTCTCCAGAATCCACTGGCTGACATAGTCCATCTTAGAGTCTCCATTTGCCCAGATTTTTCACTGCCAACACATGGCTGTTGTGCCACATCCTCCATGTGCATCTGGATATGCTGTCCACTGCTCTGTCTGAACCTCTGAGGAGGCTCAGCTTTGATACACGCACTCCATGGTCAGACCATGGAACCTGCACCTCTCTTCATGGTGGGGGTTCTGCGATCAGCAGTTCAGTTGGTGGGATCTGCAAAGAATTTTCATCTGAGGTGATCATTTTTATTAAAGCTAACTGCAATCAATTCTATTCAAGCTTCATTCCACTGAAATAAAATGAAACTAGGGCATTATGAAGTTCCTTACAAGAATGTTATATGCTTGAGTCATATACTGTGCAGTAGACATCTGTCAGGTGTAGAATTTTCTAAAAATTTTTAAAATTATTTTTCACTTATTTGAAAGGCAGAGAGAGAGCGTGTGTGTATGTTCTCAGCCTCTGTTTCATTGTCCAAAGGCCAGCAACAGCTCTGAGAGGGGGCCTGGAGTTGCCAGTCAGGAGCTCAATCCAACTCTTCCAAGGTGGCAAGGAACCCAATCCCTGGGAACCTCACAGCTGTCTCCTCTGGTCTGAGTGGGCAGGAAGCTGGAGCCAGGAGCCAGACCAAGCATTAAATCCAGCCATTCTGATGCGGCACACAGGGATCTTAACCGTTAGGCTAAACTCTCTCCAAGTGTGGGCATTTTGGACTCCTTATAGCTTTACGTGGAAACTCACAGCCAACACTGCCCTCTCTCAGGTTTCTGATTATATCATTGAGCACAAAAAACAACAACAACAACAACAACAAAAAACCCTTGAATCCTCTTCAAATCTTGCTCTTATTGAATCAGTCATGAATCATATTGTGTTGCATAGTCTCTACACAGTGAAAGAGGTCATGTTTGTGTGATGGTGGGGTGAGTGATTTTGTGTTGTTTTGGCTCCCACAGATGCTTGCTGCCCTTTGGGGGTGAAATTATACAGGCTGGGCCCTAACGGCATCCGGATCTACTGGCAAGCCTCCAGGGGCTCTGCCAACTACAGCACAGATCTCTACGGCTCCAAAGGCATTTTTACGTGCGCCCCGAGTGCTGGCCTCAGTTTCTGTGATGTCACTGAGCTCCCCTGTGGGGACGTGTACACTGTCATGGTCTCACCGGTTGCTGAGACAGGACTAAAGCTAACTTTCTGTCCAAAGAAAATATATTCAGGTAAAGCAAGCTGTGAATCTTTATTTCCAGCCTTCAACTCAGACCTGTGAATTGAGATCCAGCACAATCACACTTCTTTGCTAGACAGGAAAGCCAAAGAGGGTGTTAAGATACCCACCCGCTCTGGAATTGCAGTACGCTCTCAAGACTTAATTTGGAGACATTCTCCTTTCTCTTCCTTCGCTGTCCCTTCAGAAAAAGAAGCAGGTGGTTGCTGCTGAGCTAGTAGAGCAAATGTATCCATCTTTAAGAATTTATTTGTGGAGCAGGCACAATGGCTCAAATGGCTAGCACCAGGATCCCATATGGGTGCCAGTTCTAATCCTGGCAGCTCTACTTCCCATCCAGCTTCCTGCTTGTGACCTGGGAAAGTAGTAGAGGACGGCCCAAAGCCTAGGGGCCCTGCACCCACGTGGGAGACCCGGAAGAGCTCCTGGCTCCTGGCTTCGGATTGGCTCAGCTCCAGTCGTTGCAGCTCACTTGGGGAGTGAACCATCGGACAGAAGATCTTCCTCTCTGTCTGTCCTCCTCTCTGTATATCTGCCTTTCCAGTAAAAATAAATAAATCTTTAAAAAGGGTTGGTTTGAGAGACAGATGGACAGCACCTATCCACTTGCTCAAGCCCCATATGCATGCATGCAGTGGTTGAGCCTGGTCTGAGCTGAAGCCAGAAACCAGGAATTCAGTTCAATTAGCAGGACCCCATTTCTGTGAACCATCAGCAGCTGCCTGCCAGGGTCCACAGGAGCACAGAGCTGCAGACAGGAGCTGGAGCCAGGGATTGAACCCAAGTACCCTGACATGGGACACAGGTATCTTAATCAAGTAAGCTGAAGGTCCAACACTATTTTTTTTAAATGTATTTATTTATTTGAGAGACCAAGAGACTGAGAGCTCCCATGCACTAATTCATTCCCCAAATATCTATCATGCCCGGGGCTAGGCCAAAGCAAAGCTGGGAGCTGGGAATATAATCCAAGTAGAACAAATTTAAAATGGCTTTCCACTTTTAAGATTTGGAGGTGGAATTTTACGATAGTATTGGAGGTAATGCTATATACCCTGGCACTCTGGAACTTTTATTTGCACAAACTGTAAAGTAGGAGGATTGGGGGCAGGGAGAAATGAAGTTATAAATGAGAACTGAGGCTTGGAAATTCAAGTGGATGGACAGCTTGGGATCACAGCACGTGGCTGTTGGCAAAGCACCTCATAGAGCTGGTAGAAAAACACGGGCAGTTCTCTTGCTCTGTGTTCCAGCACTTTCTGCTACCTTGCCCAGGGCATAGTCATGCATTTTTCTTGCATTTCTTTTTTTTTTCTAAGATTTATTTTTATTATTTTTTTATTGGAAAGGCGGATGTACAGAGAGGAGAGACACAGAGGAAGATCTTCCGTCCGATGATTCACTCCCCAAGTGAGCGCAACGGGTCGATACTATGCCGATCCGAAGCTAGGAGCCTCTTCCGGGTCTCCCACGCAGGTGCAGGTTCCCAAAGCTTTGGGCCATCCTCGACTGCTTTCCCGGGCCACAGGCAGGGAGCTGGAAGGGAAGCGGGGCTGCCGGGATTAGAACCGGCACCCATATGGGATCCCGGGCGTGCAAGGCGAGGACCTTTAACCACTTGCGCCACCGTGCCGGGCCCTTTTTCTTGCATTTCTAAAAAAAAGGAAAGCGATAATGAAGCCCTAGAACTTTGCAGGTAGATACAGGGAGAAGAGTAAATATTGACTCACAAACCTTTACTGATAGCCAGAGTAAGTCATATGTGGATGGTAGGGGTTTGAGATGGCCCTCGCCGATGGAACAAGGCCAGCTCCTCCTGAGGGTGTGTTTTCACTGTCATGTGCCAGTTGCTGATTTTTTTCACTAACTTGTCCACAGGACAGGCCACCCCAAAGCATAGCACTATGGGAAGGGACAGGAATTTATTTTGAGACTGAGGATGACATTTAAGACAAGGAATCTATAGCTCAGTAGGAGCACAGCACCATTTTACAAGTATGAAGTGTTTTCAAATTTAGTTTCTCACTGAATACTCAAAATAAAGCTATGAGGTGGGTTCAACAGGTTATTTATTTCAAAGGGAGAATGACATACAGAGAGAGAAAGAAAAAAAGAGAGAGAATCTGTTTGCTGCTCACTCCCAAGGACTCTGCCAGGTTCAACCCAGGCATCAGGAACTCCATCTGAGTTTCCCACATGAATAGCAAGGACCCAAGCACTTCAGCCGTATTCGGCTGCCTTCCCATGCACATAAGCAGGAAGATAGATTGAAAACAGAGCAGCTAGGACTCAAACATCAATACAGGATGGCAGCATTGCAAGTGGCATCTGAACCCGTTGAGCTATAATGCCAGCCTCAGTTCAACAGATTTCTACCTCCAGGAAGCTGAAAAGCAGAGGCTCTCACATCTCTGTCTAAACTCATTCACTTCTCCTAACCTCTGAATCTATTCTCCCTCTGCTCACGGCATTTTATACTCCTTGCTCTGCTGTCTCTGATCAGGTGCACTGGCTAAAGACCCTGGAGCCACCTTCCCTCTCCCTTACCCTACAGCTCCAAGCAATCTCCGACTCCCGTCTTCACCTCCCCAGTGGCTCCTAAGTCCGACCTCTCTTCACTCCCACAGCTGATTTTTCTGCTTCAGGCCTTTGTCACCTCCTTCCTAGACTACTGCACCGTCCTGCCTCCACACTGTCACTGCAGTTGTACCTCCAAAAGCTGATCTGATCCTGTCACTTTCCTGCTTCAACACCTTCAAACAGTTTTTCCATTGTCCCGTGAAAGCCAATCCTCTGAACAGAGTCCCTCATCATCCCTCCTGTCAGTCTATCCACCTTTCCACCATCCGGCACTACAATACGGGTCACCAGCATCTCTAGCAGTGGTGTGACCTGCTGTGTTATGACACCTGTCCCAATAATATGTTTTCAATGCCTATTTGTTTCATTTATTACAGTAACCTGCTCCGGAAGTACACTTGGAATGGGTGAGTCATTTTTGTTTCCTCGTGGATAAAATAGGAGGGAATTTTTGTTGTTGTACTCTGGGAATAATTTAATAAAATCAGGACCTAGGACTGACACTTCAGGTGGTCAGAAAGGCATGTGCTATCTTTCATGTGAGGGATTCCAGCTATCCATCCCCAGGACTGGCTCCCCTAATAGAGTGCCTCCCTTTAGATTCCGCCTGTTGAGATAAATTCATTTGGATTTTAAAGTCTTTTCCATGTTGTAAATTCCTGCAGAAAATGTAAATTTATTTAAGAGGCAGCTGCTTAATTTCTCCTTCAGGATGTGGTTCCCAGTCCTGCCGTCTATTAGAATCATTTGGAGAGAGCCTGGCATGATGCCTTAGTAGTTGAATCCTCACCTTGCAACCACAAAGATCCCTCGTGGGTGCCTGTTTGTGTCCCAGCTGCTCCACTTCCCTTCTAGCTCCACTCACAACCCTAGTTAGACTTGGCTGCATGAAGCCTTCCTGCCAGTACACTCCTCCAAGAAACCTTCCAGCAGAGACCAGCTTCTCTGCAACACCTCCCTCTACTGGCAGATCCTATGCCTGCAGCCCGCGCCACTGCAGGATTATTCAAGCTCCTACCTATTTAGCTCTTCCAGAAGAATTTCCACACAAAGCATTGAGCTGAGCAAAGATTTATTTCAGTTGGAAACATCCTGCTGCAACAGTCAGGCGGACAGGTTTCAAGAGAGGAGAAACCCCAGGCATTTGTATTTTAACCTTAATTCTCATAATACCCCTAACTTATTGGTTCTCTAAGTTGGTCCTAGGCCAATAACATCAACATCATCCAGGAGCCTTTCAAAAATGAATTTCTGGAGCTCCACCACAGACCTACCAAATCACAAAAGTTTTAAAACAGATTTATCTATTTTTATTTGAAAGGCAGATTTACAAAGAGAGAGAGAGAGAGAGATCTTCCACCTTCTGGTTCACCTCGCAAATGACCCCAATGGCCAGAGCTGAGCCAATCTGAAGCTGGGAGAAAAGGAGCCCTTGGATGTAGGGGCCCAAGAACCTGAGCCATCCACCACTGCCTTCCCAGTCCACAGGCAGGGAGTTAGATTAGAAGTGGAGCAACCAGGTCTAGAAGCCTATATGAGATGCCAGCACCACAGGCGGAGGATCATCCTGTTGAGTCACTGCATTGGTCCCCGAATCATGAATTCTCTACTTGGGGTCAATCCGTATTTTTAAAACATTCAATCTGTGTAATTATTTCTTTGAAAGTAAATAAAAACAGGAGAGTGGAAGAGAGAGATTCTCTATCTATTAATTCATGCCACCAAAGGCCCACAGCATCTGCAGCTGGGTCAGTCTGAAGCCAGGAGCCAGGAACTCCATCCACATGCACCATGTGGTTGGTAGAAGCCCGTGTACCTGAGCCATCATCTGCTGTGTCTAAGGTGCACTAGCAATTGGATTGGAAGTTGGATGGCAAGCAGAGCCAGGGCTCCATCGCAGGCACTTGGATGTGACAGGCACACATCCCGTAATGTGGTTTCACCTGTTGGACCCCAAAGCCTGTATCCACTCATCATCTTTCCACCAAGTCCTCCACGTGATAATGATATACACACAAGTTGGAGAACCACGGACCTAATTCCACAAAGCTGTATTGATGCTGGAAATTTGCTGCAGGGAGGGAGGGAGAGGAAAGCAATCTCTCAAAGACAGCAGGGCTCTAACAGGAGGCAAAATTGGGTGGGGGAGGGTTGTGCCTGACATCACCGCACAAGGGCAGGTTTCAGTGTGGCCTGCACACCCTGGGGTGCTCTGGGGAAGTTTGCTCTTGGCTGCTGCCTCAGCAATGGAACAGGCGGAAGGGCTCCCTGGGAAGAGTGCTGGCACTGCCTGAGTAGCAAAGTAAGCAGGCCTGGGAGGGAGAAGCTCCTGGTCCCACGTCAGGACAGTGAGCTCAAAGAGACTCTCTGGGAAAATTCATTTGAAGAATTAAGAAAGAGATCACTTCGGGGGGGGGGGCGGTATTAGCTTGAAAAGTTCTCTCTTTGAATCAATCAAATTTTCCTTATTTTTAAAAAAGATTTATTTTTCTTGGAAAGGCAGATGTATAGAAAGAAGGAGAGACAGAGAGAAAGATCTTCCATCCACTGGTTCATCCCCCAATTGGCCACAATGGCCAGAGCTGAGTTGATTCAAAGCCAGGAGCCAGAAGTCAGGAGCTGCTTTCTGGTCTCCCATGTGGGTGCAGGGTCCCAAGGCTTTGGGCCATCCTTCACTGCTTACCCAGGCCACAAGCAGGGAGCTGGATGGGAAGTGGAGCAGCCCAGACACAAACCAGAGCCCACATGGGATCCTAGCACGTGCAAGATGAGGATTTAGCCACTAGGCTATCGCACTGGGCCTCTAAGCAGCTACTTTATTTCTTCCTTTCTTTTCTTTCTTTTTCTTTCTTCCTTTTTTCTTTTTTCTTCCTTCCTTCTTTCTTTTTCTTTTTTAGCAGTTTCTTAATTGCTAGTCAACACCCTCTGAAAAATTTGTGCTTTTTAGTTTTAAGAAGCTGTCGGGCCCAGCGGCATGGCCTAGTGGCTAAAGTCCTCGCCTTGAACGCGCCGGGATCCCATATGGGAACCGGTTCTAATCCCGGCAGCTCCACTTCCCATCCAGCTCCCTGCTTGTGGCCTGGGAAAGCAGTCGAGGACGGCCCAAAGCTTTGGGACCCTGCACCCATGTGGGAGACCCAGAAGAAGTTCCTGGATCCTGGCTTCGGATTGGTATAGCATCAACCATTGCAGTCACTTGCGGAGTGAATCATTGGACGGAAGATCTTCCTCCCTGTCTGTCCTCCTCTTGGTATATCTGACTTTCCAATAAATAAATAAATCTTAAAAAAAAAAAAAGAAGAAGCTGTGAGCATGTTTAATGCATCCTGCTTCCTCTTCCCTTTCTTGCCCTTACCAGTGATTTACAGAGGGAAGAGAAATGCAGATTGACATGCGAGCCCCAGGAATCGCCAAAGCAGAGATGTCACCAGGTGAGTAACTCACGGGGACTTTGTGTAATTTCACAGTCAAGTTTGTCGTCTTCATTTACACAATTCTTATTTCTTTTCAGAGTCATCTCAATGGTTAGTGATTAGAGTGAAAAGAGACCTACTAAAATACAAAATGCCTCTAGGATAGGAAAAGCTTCTTTGGCCAGTGGAAGACCAATTTCTACTCCATGGCCCAGGTCAGGTGTGTCCTCCTCCACTCAGCAGTTCCAGGTCGGCAGCTGGGAGGATCCCATACAGTCATGGAGCCACAACCTCCTCCAGCAGGGCCAACATAGGCCAATATGAAAGGTCTTCTCTGCAGGAATTTTGTCTGAAATGTCACATCTAGACACACCACAGATGGGAGCAACGTGCGTTTCAGCGGTGTTTCATGGACACCAGCCCTCTCCAGGCAGCCTGCTCGCCACTCGGGCTGGCAGCATTCACTGCTGGCAAAGACAAGCCACCTTTCAACAGAGATGATGCTTCACCCAATACGGCACTGCATCAGCACTCAAGAACATCGGTTGGGAAAAAGGAGCTGGCAAGCAACCCATGATCACAAACACCCTTGTCACCAAGCCAGGGTGGATGCTGAGCAGGTGGCAGGGTTTGCTGAGTCAGAGCATCAGTTGAGAAGAGGCATCTGCAGGAGTGTGTGCAGGTGAAACAGGAGTTGCTGCTGCTCTTGCTAGAAGCCTTGTCATCTTTGAGCATGCAAAGACAGTGCATGCAGGGGCAACCAAGGGCAGAGCTGCAAACTGGCAGAAGGATGAGCATGCTGCTTTGGATGGAGGATCATCCATCTTGTTGGCTCTGTTCCCCACTCAGTCACTGCTTCTTCCATCGTTGGAGAGACAAGATGACGATATACAGAAAGATCTGTTGTATCTAGGAATATGTATGTCCTGCCAATGCCAAGAGTGTAATAAACAATAATGTGCGTAGGATTTGTGTATTCCACACACATAAATCCAGCTGGTGGTTACTTCCCCCAAGCATGGCCATGAAGCAAGAAGTCTGGGTTGAGAGCTATTTCCAGAAGAAACTAGAGTGTGGTGTTAGGTTTGAGGAGAGCATAGGTGGAAAGATAAGCTTCCCTTCTCTGTCTTGTTTTCCTTCTGGGGTAACCGAGCAACACATACTCCAAAAGGGGATATAGCTTTCTTTGGGAGCCTGATCAAAGAGAGGTGTCACCAGAGCATCTACACTGGAAAAGCAGAAGGACCAGAGACATGGGGCTCTAGAAAGGCTCAGGAGGCACAATCAGGGCAGGGGGCAGGGTTGCATCAGCAGGTGCCTAGAATGGAAGTTAGAGGTGGGACTCGAACCCAGGTACACAGATTGAGGATACAAGCATCTTTACTGCTGCTGCAAATGTCAGCCTCCTGTGAGTGAGCAGGGGTTGGGCTGGTGAATCAGCACCACTCAGGGTGCTGTAGATCTCAGGCTTCTGCCTTGGAGAGTTGACGTCAGTGGCTTTCACTCCAGGTGGGAATACGTACTTTTAACAAGTTCACACACAGGTGATTCTGACACATGGCAGGTTAGGGAACCTGAAAGGATTTGCTTTGGTGATCTCAGAAGCAGAATTTTAGCAGTTGGAGACCAGAAAGTATTGTCATGATAGGCATGGGGGTGCAGTGGGTTAAGGATCTGCTTGGGATACCAGGGCATCAGAGTGCCTGGGATTGAGTCCGACTTCTGCTTCTGATCCAGCTTTCTGCTGATACACTGGGACATACCAAATGATGACCTAAGTATTTGGGATCCTGTCACCCATGTGGGAAACCTGAATGGAGTTTTTGGCTCCTGACTTTGTCCTGGCCTAAACCAGGCTATTTCTGGCATTTGGGAGTGGGTCAGCAAATAGAAGATCTCTCTCTCTCTCTTTCTCTCTCTCATTCTGCCTTTCAAATAAATAAACAAATGTTAAATTCTCAACAAGCAGGAGAAGATGTAACCCTATAGTCTGCAAGGAAAGATTGGTGAGATCTGGAGAGTTCCTGGGGGGGCCCATGCCTTGGGAGGGTGACTGTCCCACTACAGAACTGGGACAACATTCTGGGTGGTATCCCAGGTCCCCTGGAAGACTCTGTGCTGAACCTAGGTGCCAGCAAGTGTGCCCTGCAAATAGAGTGTGTCTGGGGTTGACAAGGACAGACAGGTGAGAGGCCAAGTGGCTTGGGAGGCCAGAGGAGTGGGGCCTATTCAGCCACACTCTGCAAATCCCATGGCCCAGAAAGAAAAACGGCCACCTGCTGGGCTAGGTGTCTAGGGCTGAGCTGTTCTGTTCAGAATTCCATAGTAGAGGACTTGTGCAATAGCTCAATGGCTAAGTCCTCACCTTGCCAGCACCAGCATCCCGTATGAAGTCAGGTTGTGTCCCAGCTGCTTCCACTATCCATCTGGGCTCACTGCTTGTGGCCTGGGAAAGCAGTAGAGGACAGGTCAGAGCCTTGAAACCCTCTACTTGTGTGGGAGGCCCTGAAGAAGCTCCTGGCTCCTGGCTTCTGGCTTCAGATCAGCTCAGCTCTGTCCATTGTAGCCATTTGGGGAGTGAACCAGTTTATAGAAGATCTTTTGCTTTGTCTCTTCTTCTCCCCACAAATCAGATCTGCCTTTCCAATAAATATAAATGTTTTTTAAAAAATAATTTCAGTATGGGCCCGGCGCGATGGCACAGTGGTTAAGGTCCTCCCCTTGCACGCCCGGGATCCCATATGGGCACTGGTTCTAATCCCAGCAGCCCTGCTTCCCATCCAGCTCCCTGCCTGTGGCCTGGGAAAGCAGTCGAGGACGGCCCAAAGCTTTGGGACCCTGCACCTGCGTGGGAGACCTGGAAAAGGTTCCTGGCTTTGGATGGGCTCAGCTCCAGCTGTTGCAGCAGCCTGGGGAGTGAATCATTGGACAGAAGATCTTCCTCTCTGTCTCTCCTCTCTGTATATCCGCCTTTCCAATAAAAATAAAATAAATCTTTAAAAAATAATAATTTCAGTAAACATGTGACTCACACAGGGTAAAGATGAAATCAGTCTGGTTGCTAGCCCAAGCTTTTTGCATGTTCTTGGCTATTTGTTTATTTATTTGAGAGGCAGGGAGAGAAATCTCCCATCCACTGGTTTGCTCCCCAGAAATGTCCAACAGCCAGGACCTAGCTGGGCCAAGAGCCTGGTTCCTGGGAACAGGGGACTCACTCCTGAGGCAGAGACTCAATGACTTGAGCCGTTACTGCAGCCTTTCAGGGTCTGCGTCAGCAGGAAGCTCCCGCCCAGGCGCCAGAGCTGGGAACTGATCACAGGTATTCCAACATGCGACACAGGCACCTGAGCTGCTGGGCCAGTTGCCAAATCCCAAGCCAAACCAGTTTATTGGAAGTGTATGTACCACATACTACATGTTCTTAAGAGTTTTCAATCCACTTACTTCATTGTTATAGCATTCCTAAAGCTAAGCGGTGATATTACCCTCCTTCACACAGATGAGGGGAAAGAGCCCCTGACAGATCAAATTACTCACTTCCACCCAAACAGTTGACTGGTTTGAAACTTCCAAAAGTGAAGTAAGTAAGTAGCATTGATTAGACCTGCTGGTCTATGCTATCCTTTTTGGAAAACATCACTTGCTATCATCATGATTAAGTCATCAATTATTAGCGAACAAGACCTAGGAATAGGGGCTGGTGTCACAGCTCAACTGCTGCCTAATCCTTCATCTGCCAGTGCCAGCATCCTTTATGGGCACCAGTTCATATCCCAGCTGCTCCACTTCCTATCCAGCTCCCTGTTTGTTGCCTGGAAAGCAGTAGAAGATGGCCCAAAGTGTGGGAGACCTGAAGGAAATTCCTGGCTTCAGGTCATCTCAGCTCAGTCTGTTGTGGCCATTTGGTGAACAAATCAGCGGATGGAAGATCTTGCTCTCTGTCTCTCCTTCTCTTTATAAATCTGCCTTGCCATAAAAATAAGCAAATCTTTTTTTAAAATCTAGAAATAAGACAGCAAGCAAGCAATTTGCTGTAACGCATGTACTTGCACATTCACCATTTCATTGTTTTGACTCTATCTGCTCTGCGAACCATACAAAGCAACTTTTCATCTCTGGTCAGTGTTGGTGGATCTGGTCCTTCATTCTGCTACGTCACGTTCAGGGAATTCAAGTTCATTTTCCTGTTTGCTTAGGCAAGCAAAGTAGAGTGGACTTAGACAAACAGGTTAGTTAAAATCAGGGATGCATTGCAGGAGGGACAAGATGGTACCGAGGACAGAGTAATGGTCTTGGAGCCAGATGCAACTAGAGCTTAGCTCATTTTGAGATTTTTATATAATTTTCATTTTTATTAATTATATATTTGAAAGACAAAACATCAGAGAGATGCGGGGAAAGGGAGAGAGAAAGCGTCCATTCATCGGTTTGCGTCCCAAATAACCCTCATAGCCAGGCCTGGATCAGGCTGACATCAGCAGCCAGAATCTCCCTTCTGGCTTCCCACATGAGAACCCGAGAACTTGAGGCATCTTCTGTTACCTGCTCAGGTGCATTAGCAGGAAGCTACATTAGAAGCAGATAGCCAGTACTCGCACTGGCATCGCAAGCCATGACTGAACCTGCTGTTCACAATGCTGGTCCCGAGATTTTATATAGTTTAGCTTCTTTTAGCCTCCATTTTCTCATCTGTGAAATGGCAACAAGGATTGCTATCTCACCTGCTTGCTGTGGTATTTCTGATATAGACTCATATTCAGCCCCCAGGTGCGAGGGAACTGAGGTGTTTAAAGCCACACCTCCAGTAAGAGGCAAAGCCAGAATTTGTAGCACACAGATCTGTGTCTGGGCACAGTTACAGCCCCGCATGGCCCACTATTCCACAGTCCACTCTGCAAACTGGCCTTCAGGGACATGAGCCACGACTGACCCTCCCGTGCCTGGCCTCCTACCTCCCTGCTTGTTCCTTCCCCGAAACCTCCCTGTCCTCCACACAGACACTTCACCCACTTCACTTTTCTCTCTTGAGCTGGCCCTCCCAGTGTATATGGGGTGGAGGAAGGATGGGAAGGAGCTCCACTTCGGAAGGGGGAGCCGCCATGATCACTGTATTTTTCTATCACTGTATATAAACAGCACCTGATTGTAAAAGTGGACAGAGAAAGGGAAATGATGCATACATTTGTTCGGAATTCCAGGCAACTGAATCTATTGAGAGCAAACTTCCAACAGAAAGACTCTTAATGGAATAGGTAGTATCTGAGCCCGTTTTACACTTGTCTTTCTTTTCCATTCCCATTTCTCTCCTAAAAATGGCAGGATGTCCCACAGACTGCTGCTCCACCTCACTGTGCATCCTTGGCAAGGCACACCTTGGCCAAGCCTCAGTTTCCCTGTCTGTAAGGGTTGCTCTGAGAATAGATGAAGTTGTCCACTTGCATGTTGTTGGCAGCAGTAGTAACTGTCTCCACCATATCAGAGTCCTTCCAGAAAAGCCTTCTTTTTCTTTCTTTTTTTTTTTTAAAGATTTATTTATTTTTATGGAAAAGGGAGATTTAGAAGAGACAGAGAAAAAAAGATCTTCCACGCACTAGTTCACTCTCCAGGTGGTAATGATGGCCAGAGCTGAGCTCATCCAAGCCAACAGCCAAGAGCCACTTCTGGATCTCACATGAGTACAGCGTGCCAAGGCTGTGGGGCCGTCCTCTACTGCTTTCCCAGGCTGTAAGAAGGAGCTGGTTGGGAAGTGGAGCACCTGGAACACGAAACGGCCCCCATATGGGATGTCAGAGCTTCCAGGGCGAAGATTAGCCAACTAAGCCACAGCACCAGCCCACAGAAAACCATTCATTCTGCCAGTGTACACGGTGGTTATGTCACATGGCATTCTGCTACCAAACTGACATGACTCATGCTTTATGGCTTTG